TAGTTAAAAAAGTTTCAAAAATCCAATAGATTTCGTTCCACTTCACAATTGTGTCCCACTTGTTGGTGATTCTTCACATAAAATAAAAAATGTATATCTTTATGTTTGAAGCCTGAAATGTGGCAAAAGGTTGAAAAGTTCAAGGGGGCCGAATACTTTCGCAAGGCACTGTAACTCCCCACATTTCCCTGCCTTGCTGTGCATTTCTAACACTGGTTGCTTATCTAATATCCCATGACACATTAAGCAAAAACATGAGCTAGCAGCATGCATATAAGGACTGTACTGAGGTAAGAAAGACTTCAAGAGAAAAAAATGGATTAGGGAGATAGCATTGAGTGAGACTTTACTAAATATGGGATAATTATATCCCTCACTTTGATCTCTCATAAAACAAATATCCTGGCAGCTGTCACCACTGCTAGACTTAGGTCATCAGTTTCATTTTCACAGGCTGTTAATGGAAACATACCGTATCAAAGGGCAAATGCTCCTCTTACAACTAGTACAGGCATGATCGCATTGCCCCTCCGGTGTTTTGACATTTCAGGAAGAATGTAAATCTGTTTTCCACATTAGAAGGGCTACACATGGTTGCCGCAAAAAGCTTGCCAAATCTGCGAGTAAGTTGTTTCAGAGCCCTTGAGTCAGTCACTATTGTTTTGTTTACCAGGCTCACAGGCTCTTCGGTTATAGAATATCACAATATACCACAGCAAAACACCAGGAGGACAGCAGTACTGAAAGGACCATATGCTTGTAAGCAATTAGGTCTTTTAAAGCCTGAACTACACATCTGGAACTTATCGTTATGTAATTTTAACCTTAGAGGACTGAAGCTCTGAGCTCTTTGCCTGCTGGTTCATCCTCTTTGTCACAATCAGACTTCACTACAGCTGCACATATACAGTATTGAGCTCTTCATGCCACGGCTTATGGGCATTACACACCTAGAAGTCCAAAACTTTTATCCGAGTAGTTCCAAATGTTAAAGTGAATTCAGTTAAAATAATCCTAAAAATATTTCCATCCACCTTATTATGCCTTATGCTAGTATTTAATGTAAGGCTGTGTATTAAATAACTATACAACTCACGCATCTGTATTTCACTTATGTTGCCTACATAACAAACACCTTAACTGAAGAGTTTTACAAAAGTTGAAAACAAAAAAGAAAGCTACTGCAGTACACAATATGAGGAAATACCAAATGTGCCATAAGAGATGTCAAAAGTTCTCTCTCTTCAACCAGTGCAATAAAGCCCCACCCATAAGCACTGGGGCACAAAAACTGCTTGGAACTCATACAGTACATGCTCCTCTGCACAGAGATATGTACGATACAAAGAGAAGGCAGAATATAAGAGATCGAAAACTACAAAGCATAACAAAATCGTGCTTTAAGCACACTGCCCACTGACAGTGTACAACGAATGTTACTGTATGTGTCAGGAGGGCCAACAGGCAAGGTTGTAAAAGGGGCTAGATCTTGATCTCTATACTGAGCTCTAAACACCAGAAAACAAGGACATTTATCAAACATGAGGAGGCTATTTTAACTCATCCCATGATTCATCGCTTAAGATCCTAGCCTCCCCCTGTGACCTTCACAATGGAAAGAACTGATTTGGAAATGTGCAGGATACCATTTGCATCACCCATACTAACCAACAGGAAAAACAAACCATTTGCATTCAAATGCAAATCCTCAATCCCACCAAGCTGATTTCCATGAGAGATGCACCTCACAGACCATTTCAGGTGGTTCATGCCCCCCCCCCACACACAAGCCTTTAATCCTTGTGTACTTTTTAAACGAGACACTCGATGAACAAGAATAATGGAAACAAAATCCGTGTTGTAATGGGAAGACACTATTAATCTGCTCAGTCAAGTGGGGATTAAATAAAGCATGTCAATCTGTTGATGAGAAACAGTAGAGTTTTTTTTAATTTAAGTGTTATGGACACTTTTCCATCACTTTTATGGAGTACGAGGGGGCAAGCATTTACCTAAAAAACAATTTTCAAATACCTCTTTTAAATAAACCTCTAACAAATAAATACCATCTGCAGCAGATGTGCCCTCAGTTAAGCAGAGACAAACGCTGCTTCCAGCAGGGCTGTAGTACCTGGATGTTTACAGATCATAGTAAAGAACTGCCTTGCTTATGATGACAATTTAGCACTTTAGTAGGTCTTAAGCAGCATTCAAGGGAACTGACCTTGGAGAATTTATGCTGAGCTGACATGAATGACAAAACAGACCAAATATTTACATAATGAATTCGAGTAGATGACTTTTCCACATCTGAGCTCATTAAATGTTCCCTATAAAAATCATAGGAGTGCTACTCATGTTGGCCATCTCGATCTAAAACCCCAAACGATTGCAGACTTTTAGTCCAGCAGGCACAGTATTGAGGAAAAATATGGTAAACCCCACATTTAATGTACAATTATGGGAATAATTTCATACTGTGATGACTAGATTTTAATAACCAAAAGGGTATTCAATGTTTTTATGAGATGGAATAGTATATGAAGTAGAAAAAATAAGAATCAGGGTTAAGTAGACCCCTAGATTCCATAGCTCAGTTAAGGATAATTAGAATCAGGCTCCAATGAAATGATAGGGTAAGTAACCAAGGACTGAAGTTGGCAGCCCTGTCCTATTTAATAGTCAGGAACTTTGTGGTTTTAGTTTTCCCCATACAGGTTAGGTGAAACATGTCATGCAACGATCGAAGATATTTCAGACTTAGAAAAAGTAACTGATGCTCATCTGTAAAGAGAAGGCAACCAAACCATTTCTAAACATTTGAAGCTCTATCAATCCACTGTTAGACAAGTGGAAAAGAAATGGAAAATAGACAGGAAGCCTGGAAAAAAACACTGCTCTCTTAACAGAACACAGCCGCATGTCTCAAATACTGCAAAGAACACCTGGAGGATCCACAGGAATAATGGAAGAATGATTTCTGGACAGACAAGTTGAGCTTTGAAAGTGAACTTGAAAAACAAAACACTTTCCATTAGAAGAACCACATCAACCACATCCTGACCAAGCATTGTGGTGGTGGTTTAGGGCTGCTTTTCTGCATCAGAACCCAGAAGGCTTGCCATCACTGAAGGACCCATGAATTCGACTTTGCATCAGCAAAATCTGGAGGAGACTGGTGCCGCTTCAGCTCAAACATAGCCTGACAAACATGCAGCAAGGCAATGATTCTAAACATTAAGCAGATCCACAACAGTGACTGAAGAGAAGTTTTGAATTCTGGATTGGATCCAAACTGCATTGAAATGTTAAGGCAGGACCTACAGTTTTTCATGCAAGGAACGCTTCAAATATCACTGACTTCTTAGCTCCAGAGAGAGGTTATTCAGGGCCCAGGTTTGCACCAGATAGTGACCCAGCTGGACAGCCATCCTCACCTCTCTCATCATTGGTGGCAGGTACCAGACACTGCAGACAATGGCCCAGCTGCTCATCATCCTCAGGAGGTAGTTGACCATCCCATACTTGCTGCTGTTCCAGAAAGCATCTCCAAAGCGAGGGTCATACTGAAACATAGGGACAAGTCTGCCATAAGGATGTAGCAAAACAAAATCCTATGCTCAGGGCACAGAGGAGTTCCAAACTCCCTCCCCCTTATAAACCACTGAGGATGTGCACTTTACAACTGTTGACAGTAGTGACTGCCATCACAATGCCACTTGACATGCCCAAGTGCTGCCTTCTAGCTTCAGCTGGGCATTTAATTAGTTTTGTCTGGAAACTGGTCCATACATGGGAGGCTTTTGGCCTTCCTATTGAAATGACCAGCTCTGAGTTTACCTTTTTTGTTCTGAGTGCACATTTTTGTTCTGCTTAAGACTAGTAAAAGATCACATTTCCACCAAAGGGATTTTAAGAAAATTAACAGAATATTAATGCAAAGGAAAAATTGTGACGCAGTTAATCAACTGTCTGATTTTTAATAGAACAGGTAATGGACAACTAACAGCTCTCCAGTTTAATTACCTACATGCTATATCTGTTAAAGCCCTTATCTGCATCCTCTGCTTAAAGGTGGCAAAAAGGAAACCTTGTTTTACCTTGTTACAAAACTTGAAAAGCCATTAAATGTAGCCAAAACAGTGGGAAATTGAAAAATGATATATATAATATATTCTGCTGGTGGTTAATTACCTGCCATTACAAAGGGCAAGTATGACAAGAAATTCATGTCCAGTGTAAAACAACCCCAAGGAGAAGCAGATGGGGTGTCTATTTCAGGAGGAAAAACTACTGATCTTTTTCATGCTGTCTTATTTTTAAAATGGAACAAATGCTGAAGAAACTGCCTACCTTTATGGCCACTGGGTACACTGTTGTGCCAATCTCAAAACTACCTTTTTTAAACATCATCACAGAGGTGTTGTTTATGCAAGTGCCTAGGCAAAAAAACAGAGGTTTAAAAAAAAAAAACACATGGCAGATAAACTTTTCAGAACGGCCAAACTGGCTTATTTGTTTCATATTTTATCATATAGTTTGACTATCATGCATTGATTTGACTCACCTTCTGGGAATATCAGAATGGGCAGTTTACTTTTATCCTCCACGTGATCACTGAGCCTGTGGGACAGGGATTGCAACACTGAATCAAGAAAGACTGGGCACCTTTCCGACTAGTGGCATGATGAAGAATACCAGCCCTAGCCAAAAAGATCCATCTGGGATAATGGCATCCTCACTATTAAATATATCATTAATACTATTTTTACAGATCAAAGCTACATCTCACAAGAGTTAAAGGTGGCAGTCATTATACAAGTTAAACAGTTATCTCCATATCTCAGTCTTTGCAATAAGGGATAAAAGAAATCAACTATGAAATATATGGTTGTTACCCAATTCCCTGAAATTTTAAAGTAGTAGTACAAAGGTCATTTGAATTTATATTTTGTCATTTATAAAAAAAACTGAAGAATCATTTTCTCAACTGAAAACTTGCAAAGCATCAAGACCATGAAAACACCTTTAACAGGTATATTGTAAGACCTGCAGAAGGTAAACACGCTGCTAGGTTAATAGTTTTAACTAATCAGTACTACCGTAGAACTCCAAGAGATTCTCTAAAATAAGATGTACCTTTTAGCCACAAGGTGGCGATCTTTGACTTCTGACCGCTCAAACCAGATATGTGGGCAGGCCTTCACCATGGACCTCTGAATTATTCCCATGAGCCCTCCATGGACCTGCCCAACCTGCAACAACACAGACTGACCTTCCAGCACTGGGCAAAAGTAACAGACACTTGCCACAGTCAATTATACGGGAAGCGGACATTGAAATTCGTTACCCTAACAGTTCTAGGAAATCACAAAACCTCAGTGCTCTGCGGCTGAAGCCGCTTATAACTGATAAATATATTCCCGGTGATATCATCCAAGGCAATTAGTGCTCTTTTTGACAATATCTAATAGCTCTGGTGGGTTTTTCCATTCAAATGTCCATTAGCATATCAAAATGCAGAGTGGAAACACAAATAGAAACTTTTAATGCTAGTAGGACCAATTTCAAAGCCTTTTGCTGAAATGGAGAAAAAAAACATTCTGCAAGCTTTCCAAAAGTTTCTATTTCAATAAAGAAAACTGAATTTCCCTTTACTGTACTTGTAATCACACTTTCTTCATCTTTTAATATTTTTGAACAGAGAATCCAGAAATAACAATGGGGAAAGTTTTAAAGTGGTGAGCAAACTAGCCTTAGTTTTTTTTGTATGTCACATAAATGACATTATTAAATAACTTTTATTGTAACAATCCTGTTATATGTCAAAGGTTTCAGGGGTTTTGAGGCAGCTGGAGATCCAAGGAATAATATTTAACCAAAACCCACAATCTTGAAGGTCATTCAATCTGAAAAGCTCTTTCGGCATTTAATGAAAACAGCTGAATGGATTTTCTTTTATTTCTAAATCCTTCATTTGTGATTTTTAGGGTCTCATGTTTAGATGATTCTTTTCTTCCCCGATCATGGGTGTCGCAATCCACCCTGAGCAAGTGTCTTACCATGGCATAGCAGCCGTCGCTGGCCAGAATGATGACATCAATGGGGGAGGTGTGGTTCGCCACACAAATGCCTCCGTTCTTTGGCTTGTTCTCACTGCAATGCAAGAAGGAAGAAAAAAAGTTAGTAACGCAGCACTTGGCCGCCTCTTCAAAGCAGCCCTTGTATATCCTTAACGGCTCAATCCATCACTCCATTCTCATTCCTAACGGTGCACTGATTAGCTCTAAGAACCTTCCTGAATGAGAGCATTCCATTGGTTCTGCAATAATCGAGACAGCACAAAAGCCAATTTAAAGACATTCTAAAAAAAAAAAAGAAAGTGGTGGTTAGTACTGCTTCACAGCACTGCAGCCCTGGGTTCAGTTCCTGGGGTGCTCTTTGCATGGAGTTTGTATGTTCTCCCCACATTCGTGCATTTCCTCTGAGTGCTCCAATTTCCTCCCACAGTCCAAAGATATCCTGGAACGTTAAATGGCTTCTTTAAAAACTGGACCTTGCGTGTACACATATGCCTCGAGATGCGTCCCATCCACAGTGTGTCCTGCCGTGTGCCTGCTGCTTGCTGGGATAGGCTCTAGCCCCCCCACAGCCATGGACTAGATTAAGCATTTGGAAAAAGGAGGACCGATAAAACTCCCAAGAACAGCAAGACTCAACACTTGTTAGCATAAACTGCTGATTTAAATGTTTCTACCCATCAGCACTTGGAGTAAATCTACAGAGCATCTACTCAGCATCAGTTCTGTGCATGTTTTTTTTACTAAATTGTGCCCATTAGGTGGCACTCAAAACTGCACCAACAACGACACCTGAAACATAGATCCCCAGCAGAAGTCAGGCAATGAAAACACAGGCTTTAAATGTCATTTAGCAAAAAACGAGAAACTACAAGATTGAACAACTCAGTCTAAAACTTGTAAAGGAGTTAAAAATTGCCGCTTTTTACTATTGCACAGAGGTCCAAATTTATGAGACACAAGGTTAAACTGTACCTTGTGACATGCTACTTGTCCCTCATTGAAGGAAAATGCATGTTGCGCAGTTGACCAACTTGAATTTTCACTATTTACGATAGGAGAAGCTCTCCTGAGACATTTGTCCTGAAGTCCAACAGGCCACTGAAACTCATGGCTCGATTGGCAGAGAAAGGCCCTGTATTGTATTACACCCTACTGACTGATGGCTTAATTTCACAATGCCAAGCTGCTGTACACAGTGATTGATATCCCTATTACACAAGTGATTTTAAAATCAATTTGAAATGCAGAAACAAAGTAAGTTTTGAGCACATAGCAGCTGCACTGTGCATCACATCCAGCAATAAAATTACAGCATAAAACTGACGTGAACTGGCCAATAAAAAAAAAAACATCCTTGTGTAATAACTCTAAAAGAGATCCTTCTGTAGCCATTAACCAAACCCTTAAGGATCAGAAGCACTAGTTCAAGGCCCCCTGTTGTTTCTGAACCTTTTAACTGTTTTATACAACTTTTAAGTATTGTTTGTTTTTGCTTGGTATCTGTTTTTTATTACTACACATTCTGATCGAGCTCAGACAGCAAGGGCGTCGAGCTCCTGACCGGAAGGTCCCGGGTTCAATCCCAGGTAGGGGCAAGTGATGGATCTTGCTCCAATTCCTTCCTAACTACTCCCAGGTTCACTCAGCCTGCTTTCCAAATGAGTACCAGGGGTTAATCCCTCCGGGGGTAATAGGCCGGCCGGAGCGTGATGCTGATCATATCACCTCACCCTGCCGCGTCGGACGGCCAAGGAAAATGGTGGCCCTTGCCCTCCCCATTCGCCCATGAGCCTTTATGGCCTGAAAAGGGGACCTTACCTTCCTACACATTGTGATCCCTGCAATGACATTTCAAGAACAACGCAACAAAAAAACAATAACGTAGGCACAAAATCTTTTAACTCCATCTTGGACTTAAAAGGAGAGGACAGTGACAATCCTTTCTGAATAAGGACTGAAACACCCAAAAGTAAAAGGTAATTACATGAATTTAACCCTGATACCCTTAAACCAAATCAATTAGACCTTTACAGAACAGCCCATGTGAAATCACCTGACGCTAGCTCTGAGCTACTGTTGGCAGGCGGCTCCATTCCACCCTGAACATTGTGATCCTGATCTTGGATATTAATACAGTGCTGACAGGCCTCCATGGTCACTGGAGGCCCTCTGAACATCACACTTCCCTTTTTATATCAGTGCACTGGGATCAGATCTCCAGAGATGTACCATACACCCACACAGTGCAAACAAACACTCTCCTTGTTCCTGGTGCACTCTGCATAACATGGCAGATCAATGCCAATTCAAGCTTACTGCAATTGTTTTTTTTTTCCTGGAAAAAAAAGATATCTTGCCAAGACCTTGCTATCCAGGCATTATTTCCTATTTTCCTTCTTTTTATTAAAAAAAACAACACTTTCAATCATTCAGCCATCAGTGTCAATTTCAGAAAATTCCCCTAGCATCAAAAGAAAATCACTTATAACAGCAGCATACTTGCAAAATAATTGGGGAAAAATGATTTTGTAGAAAACAGTCTAACAATTTAACACAAACGAATTAATTATAGTTGTTGCTAGAGGCAATACAGGCCTTACATCCGTGATGCATCCTTATCACTAGGTTGGGCTTACTGTCTTGTGGAATTATTTCCTACTTCTGTGCGCTGGTTTCTGAGTCCTAGACGCCAATACTAATAATTTATTATATATTAAGTTACAGATGTCCAGCACAAGATAGCCATGCTGGGAATATGGATACTGGTTCACTAGAAAGGTTTTCAGAGGTTTAGTGTTTCCCTGCTAAGAACAACACCCCCAGAGAAACACCAAAATCCCAAATTTGGTCATTTGGATATTAAGTGCATAACACCTGCACTGGAAGCTGCAGAGCCATGTAGGGTTTCAGCCAACACAAGTGCGCATGCAAATAGAATGGAATGTATGAATATTGCTAAGAAAATCGAACGTTCATGTCCAAATGAACAAACACCTGCTACACCTATACTGCATTATGAACCAGTTTGACAGGTTACACTGGGAGACTGCACCGAGGGCAGGGGGGTTAGGAGTGCCAGCTGAACTCTGAGCAACATGCTCTGTACACAGCAGGCTGGGAACCACATGACAGGCTTCAAATAACTGTGGAAATAAAACCACACTGCTCATCCAAACACAGAGCACATGGCCTACTCTGGGTAGCCGCCAAGACAAATGATTAACGGCTTTAACAAAGTAGACCGCAAAACCAGGAAAGCAAACAATGCTAAGGAACGGGCAAGGTCAATATCTGGAAACAAGATGGAGAGATCCAACAGGAGCTCAGATCAGCGCTCTGCTGTTACTCTACATCTTAAGGCAGTACTGCGAAGGTGGTAGAACACACCACCTTCGTTTCATGACATTAAAAAATGTTTGCAAAATCATTTTGCGTGAAAACACCCAAACTATAACAGTTCAGCACTTCTCAGATTTGGCTTCATCACGCAGATAAAATTCAGCTGATGACTAACACTTTAAAGCATTTTGCGATAGCTTCTGTAGTTGCAATGTGTGCACCTTGCAATAAATCTGCACACAACCTTAGCTTTGCGCTCTGTGTTAGCTCCTTTTGGGATCTTTTCAGTAGTACTCTTTGTAAGAGAAGCAAAACGGTAACTTTCACAATATGAAAAAGCAGCAGTTCTGCAGTTCTCAGTTATTAACAAGTCATCCAAATGCTAGATTTTATAACTCGGAAGTCAGAATAAGAAAAGTGTGAAAAATTAAAATGTATAAAAGGAATATAAAAATGACACCTTAAAAGCATAACCATGCCAATTAAGTTGACACAAAGTGTACAATAGTCTTTTTTACCTGTCGTGGTAGGTGATAATCGCCGTCAGGGCTCGCACACAGATCCGATAGCACATCAGATGCACTTTTTGACTGAGGAAGTTTTTCATCCTGATAAGGAAAAGGTGAACAAAACAGCTTAATACTAAAAACCTCAAAACTCTCATAGGAAGTAAATTTTTCAATAGAATCTAGACATTTTCCTGCCTAAATAACTATAATCAACGTAAGCAGTTCTCCATCAAAACTGTATTTTCATGGTGCTTTAGAGAAGATTTAGTAGAAAAGAGAACATGTCAGTGAGTGAACTACTGAATCAAACAATGTCGCTTATAGCAATAAACTCATTTAGATGGAGCTAGAAAGCTGGCTTGTCTATGCTGGGAAATGGAGCTGTCTTTGCAGGAGTAGAGCAAGAAATTTCAATTCCTTGGTTGACTGACGTACCTTCTATTGGGTAAAAAGCCTACCATGGTCGTCCCAACCACCAAGAGACCCACTCCAGTGAAAGCAAGAGTTACTCTGTAAAACAAAAAAATCAAGACGACTCAAATGCAGATTTTGCTGCTTGACCACAGAACCAGTTCTCTGTGAATTAGGGGAGCCCACCTAGTATTTTAGTTTTCAAAAACCTTTAGAAATTGCTTGCATGTCTATAACATGGATCGACTACCTGCGACACGTGGCCTGGTTGTTGATCTGTCTTTATCATCTTACTGAGTCACTTGAATTTCTAGACCAAGCACCTCATGACTGTGGATGTCAGTTCAATGTAATTGTATGACATGCCTTTAAAACAAGAATAAAAGATTCAACCACAGACACTTACAGACCATGGCTGGAAATCCTGAGAGAGGACACAAACTTCAGACTGGGATTGGTTAGATTATATTGTGCATCCACAACACCCTCCCTACCCCAACTACCTGCAGGGCACAGCAGGGTTGATGTTCATGTGAGCAACACCACCTACTGCGTCTTGTAATATGACAATAACAGACCAATTTAAAGGTATCCAAAACAGAGCAAGAAGCAGCTCTGAAGGTTTAGTCTAATACAGGATTCTCCAACCCTAAACCTTAAAAACACAATCAAGTCATATACCCTGGTGGTTCCCAAACTTGGTTCTGACAGGCTGCTGTCTCTTCTGGTTTTCATTCCCACTCTGCATATACCCTTGCCAATGATCAGGTTGATCATTTCCAACAATGTCTGAACTGAAAACATGTGCTATCTCTTGAACTTGCCAATTAAGTTTCTTAAAATTACTCCCTTATTCCTGGCAAGAGATCCCTTAGCAGGCAATCGGTTCATATATTGCTGGTAAAGAGGGAAATTTCAAAGAATCAGAAACTCCCACAAGGAGTTATCAATGCAGAATTTTGACCATCTCCTTCAGCATTTATATAAACATTAACAGGAGCAAAATAATTAGTGTGCTTGATGTTTTAAAAATAAGTGGACTGGAAGGGCAGCCAGGCAAATAGCCCTGCTTTAGAAAATCTTTTGTTAAAACCCTGAGAAAGGGTTAAACTGGTTTAAAGAATTCAACTGATAATGGAGGGGCAAGGAGGGAATGCAAGTCATGTGTCCTTCAATCACCAGAGCTGACAATCCCCACAGTTGCTTCCCTCCCAGCAAAACACTACTCCTGCCCCTCGGCCGGGAATGTGATCGTTCCTCCCAGCTGAAGAGACACCGAGCCAGAACTCAACACCCTGCTATTATGAGCTTCACGAACGGGTTCAGTGAGGGCAAAGACCCTGTTAAGAACATCTAGCAAAAAAAGCAGGAGAATCACCAAGCAGATATTTGGTTCTTGTCATTAGTATGTAACAGTGAAGGCAAACTACAACTTTACTTTGGTTTATTTCACCTGTTTGTGGAACAATAAGGGTATTTAAAATGCCAATTATTTTTATTTTACTCCTGATTTTGTTGGAAACACTAGTTATAAATGACCTCCTCTTTACCACTACAGTCTCTCTTCCTGAAGGGGAAGCTGAGGATCTATGCATTCGCTCCACTGACAACCCTGCCTGACCAATTCATTTGTCATTTATGATACTGCAAGCTCCACAGCAGGCAGACTTACCAATGACATCACTGCAAGCTCACACTATTCTACTGAGTCCCCAGAGCCTCTGCTGCATATTAACCCAGGAAAACCATATCAGGTAGGTTGTGGCAAAATGACAGCCAAGGTTCAAACCAGTGACAACCAGACTACAGGACACAACCTTATCGAAGCAAGTGCCTTTGTTGGCTGAGCAATACGGAAAACCATCTCTTCTTACTGTATTTCTAAATGAAAGCTTATATGCATCTAAAATTCAGTGGACAATACATTCATTTAAGGGGTTAATGGGGCCACTGGATAGTTTATAGTAATAGCAATTAAAAAATACAAACTGCTTCCTTTAGTTAGTTAGAATAGCAATGTGGGATATTCTTATATTTTTGGAGTACATGAAACTGCTTTTACTTCATGGAAACGGGTGTTAAGCTAAAATATGCTATACATCAGAATATGACAGATGTTAAATGACGCACAACCTTTTGCTAGAAAGGGGAACATGCTGGACACTGTAGTACAGGCAGTCCCTGACACATCAGGTGACATAACAAAACTACCAACTTTCCTCCATTTCCCCATAAGAACAATGTACATATGCAGAGTTTGTCAGCATAAGAGCATAAACTCTGCCCATGTTACTTAAAGCTTAAGCTTTTCCCCATAAGAATTAACAGGGCAGGGATAGGGACCATAAGGTAGATGGAGTGTTTGTTTTACTTGAAGCTACAAATAATAGGACCCACTGATCTGTGTTAATTCCAAGGAATGTTACTAAATAATGAAACTTAGTGAGATGACTTAGAAAAGGAAATATCCATAAGGAATAATGTAATTGTTTGGTAGGATGGTGACTTAACTGTGTGGTGCTAAGAACTCAGCTTTAATATTGAGGCACAATGATTCACAATCCAAGACACAAGCAATAGAAATGTCTACAAGAGGAACTGTGTATGCTAGATTTTGCTCTTTACAAATTTTTCTTCATTTTCAGAACAAAATAATCCATGTAATACCTACCTTGCTGGCTTTTGAAGCCATGCAAAACAAAGGTCCTTTTACACAGAGTTCCTCAACTCATCAATGACATAAGTGCAAAAGAACATACTGCAGCAGGGCGACTTATAACAGGGACTGCCTGTATACATACTGATCATTACGAAAATTACACACAGGGAAAATGTTTTAAACTCATCCAGCCCTGCCAGGCTATTTGTGCTAACCCTCCAGATCTGTACTGGCTAAACATTAATGTTTTGGTGGGCCAGGTGCCAGCTGGTCCCTCTGCCACAGCTCGGTTATCTAGCAAGGTTATCAATAACTTCCCCAAAACAGCACTAGCGCTCCAGTGCAAACACACTCTAGCGCAATCTCAATTACAGTTTCAACAATTAGACGTTTTTAACAATTCTTTGCATGTGGGCGAATCGATTTGGTGCAGCAACACCAAGATGCCCCATGCGGTCATCAGAAGGCTATCTGACCAGTGCAGCACAAGTTCATTCTCATCTGAAATCAAAGAACTGATTAGTGTGATTACAATGAACCAAAACCAAAAACCAACAAGTACAATTCTTAGCTTTTCAAAGCAAAACTGCTTAAGCATGGCTGCAGTGAAATGACATTTAATCTGAAGATTATTGACGATTATATGAACTCCTGTTTGATGTTACTTTGGGGACTTCCACACAGTAGGCTCTACTCAGTGTAGCTCAGTCCGAACGGATCTGCGCTGTCTATCGCGACCTTGACGCAGGAGCTGCAGCTCGGCGAAACAGCCGGACTCACCGGAGCGGCAGCAGGAAGCCGTATCGGATCAGGACGCCCAGCCCCCAGAGCACCGTGAGCCGCAGGCTGATGTGCTGGAAGTTGTAGTTGCTGCGGGTCAGTAGGTTCCAGGACTCCAGCTCCTCTGCGGAGAAGCGCTTGGTCACCTCATCGTCCATGATGGTCTCCACTCCCTTGCGGCAGAAGTAGAAGATGTCGGACATCTCGAACTCAGGCGTTCCCAGGTCCTTGTTGCTTCCGCTGCGGCGGATCTCCTTGATCTCTTCCTCCAGGGAGGTGGGCTCCTTGGCAATGATGCCTGGCAACAACCAGAAGAGATCAAGGATCCAATTAGCTGGGAAGATCCTTCGTTAACTTCATTTTTAAATGCAACTACCTTCTGTTTTGCCGCCACAAAAAAAAGTCTTGTTTTTACGGATTCCATTATGTAACTTCACAAAAGCGATCAACACGTGAACAGATCAATGTAATAAAGTCAATATTATGAAACAGCAGTTCAAGCAATCAACTCCAATAGACATCATACTGTAAATTGTACTCAAACTCTCAATAGATGCAATGGCAAAGCTCATTACTCAAAACAATTTGGCATGTTTTAAACCTTTATGGAGGGAAAAAAAAAGCACTATACTTGTTCCGACTATCGACAGTGGTCAAATGATACAATATATTGACAATGCCTCACCTCCTAGATATCTGCTCACCGGGCAGTTTCTTCTTACAACTGAAACAACTACTTCTCTGCCTCCCTGATACCATCTAGCTGAATTTGATGGCTTAGATTCAGCAAGGATACAATTAGATCTCGGATGACAGTTATGAAGAAACTGGAAGGTAAAGGTCTCGGCCACTCCTTGCATAGCTCACAGCTACATCTCAGCACCAAAGAGAGCTATGGTCACCTAGTCACCATGGGTCAAACCCACACAGGCTTGCCCATCTTAACCATCCACACACATCCTACATTCGACCCAGGCTTACCATTTGTATAAGGCTTGTACAGATGGTGATTCTTCTCTTTAGCGCCTCTTTCTATTCTCAGCGTGGCCCACTGGAAAGAAGCAAGCACATGTTATGCAAAGGGGAAAAAAAAGGATTTGAGATATCAAATATTTGAAAGCAACAAACTGTAGGCTACATTCAGACATTATTGCTTTTACCTTGTGCCATATTGTTGTGTTCATTATTTCTTTAATGTTCTTCCGATTTTTCTTGGCACAAACTGTGATGAAACAATGCATTTTGTATTTTTGTAAATTGTGCTGTAACTGCTAAGTCTTGATGCTGGAGACACTTGTTTAACTATATTCGGCTACTTTTTGCGTTTTGAGATATGCTTGAATAAAGATAAAGATTGGGCATATAGATAATGCCCAATGCAGAGCAGTCCCATCCATCTCCGATTGCACAAGTCATAAGCTCTTGTGTAAAACTATAGTGATGGAGGAACTCTTACACGTTACACTCATCTCAATACAAACTTACTAAAAACATAAGCAGAAGCACTTTATATTAATCTTCTTGTAAGAGCTATGAATTCTTAAAACCTGCAATATAATATAAAATCCATCATTTCCTCAGGACTGCATTGCAAGAAAGCTCTTAAAATAACAGCTACACTCCTAAAAAAGGAGTAAAAGCACTTCTGAATGTCACAATCTACAAAGCAGACCTCCACGCAATCTCTTTATCGACAATGGCAGGAAGGAGTTCCTACCTCCTCTACCATGCATTATCACGAAAGACACTGATGACATTTGCTTTTTCTTTAAGGAACAGAGTGAATTGGAATAATCAGAATATAATTAATCTCCCCTCCAAACACAATATGATCTAGAGCTCATTTCATCTGCAAGACCACTGGCACTTCTAAAGAAAATAGTTCTTCTGTAGTGTTCTACTAGTCTAGGCAACATCTGTGCTTCAACGTTTTTAGCTGGGTGTTAACAAAAGGGATGCTGCATTTGTAGACCTCTACATGTAGAATAGAGGATCCTTAGAACTTCACTTTGTTGACAGGAGGTCCTGTAGAAGAAAAAGCTATTTGGCAGACACCCCTCTACAACACTGATTAAAGCTGCATAGAGCGACACACACCGATCAGAAAAATTCAACATTGGTTTTGAATGTTAATCAGTCAGGGCAAGGCGTGCGACAAGACCAGTTTAGACAGCACATAACCACAGAGGTTTCTTTCAGGCAGACACAAGCAGAACTTTTTTTTTCCCCTTTGCCACATGGCAACATCCCAATTTGCTCTGGTGATCCTGTAGCTGGCTTCACATGGGCGGCCGCCGATCCCAGCAGTGATCTCACCAAGATACTTGTTTTGCGCACCAGTGGGAAAAACAAGGAGGCGGAATAACAAAACAGCAGAACTAAATTGCTACCAGCAGTAAACAAGGAGGCAGATTTGCAAGGCTGAAAAAAAGTGTCTTGTATTACTCCACTTTGCAGTACGCACAAATTATAACAATATACTATGCATTTCATTTCCATTTACAATGTCACCAGTTGTGCACAAACTCCTGCAGCATGTAAACAAAATCCACTATTTTATTATGCGATGAACCCCACCACTGACTTCATTACATTACCCAATATAATTTGATAGCTAAATCCCACTGGAAAAGGGCCTTCATAACAGGACTACATCTCTACTACACCACAGATCTCAATCTTCTCTCTCCAAACTTTACCATCCAGCTGAGAATCTAGAGGAATGGTCTCCCTCTACCAGAGCCACCCCAGGACGAGAAGTTTCACAAGTCATTAATAGAAGTACTACTCCCACAGGAAACCACAACTTGTTTCTCCATTTTACGAACACAACAAGTACACCAATTAGATCCAGGATTTGGCAGGATCCAACACTGCTTGAGCTCGGCCACTAAACCAATAGACTAAGGAGAGAATTCAGCTTTTGTTCAGTTTCACCAATTCCTCACAAAAACTAATGTAAAGTTAACCAGGAGGACTTTCAGAGAGCTGGCTTTTTCACCTGGCATCAGAAAATGTTTTAACTAAACCAACTACATATGGTGGTGGTTCTTTTCTTTTACCTTTTCAGACAGACTTGAAAATCAAAGTTCATTTGCCTATTTAGAAGCTTGATCAGGGTTATTGATTCCAATGGTCTGGTCTCAAATGCACCAAGCATTACTATGCAAGTAAAGGGTCCAATCCTGTCCTCCTCTCATTTCATAATATCCAACTCGGATGTTAAAAAAAATCTCTATTTTAGCTGGGCTGGAGAGCTAAAAAGTACACAGAACAGGATATAAACCACTTCATAGAACAAAGCCGACCTGATTGGAGAGCTAAAATCATTAGAGTCATATCATTAGCGTTAAAAGTGTAAATGACAAATGCAGGTCCTATTTTCCTTGTTTGCTTTCACATTTTAACGTCGCATTTACAAAAATGTTCCTGTCATTTAATTTTGCAATCATTCCCAGATGCAGAGAAGTACTGGCACAGTTTATCACGAATTGGTCACACAACAAACACTAACAGGTAGCAGCTGTTGGGAAGAGCAAATATTCAGCAAATTTTGAAGTGCATTTTAATATAATTCGATACTTAAACATGGGTGTGTAATACTTCTGTTTGCACCTGTACACATGCAAACACAGATGCGTCTATAGAGCAACAGTCAAGGGAAGACAACAGCAGCATATTTTAGGATCACTTTCACACAGATACTACAGGGCTTTATTTTTATTATTTGCAGTAAACAGTTCAGACAACTGCTCAATAAGCAACAACATTTATTTTAACAAAACAGTCCTGCAGAATCTTTATTTATAATTTGTTTTAGAAGAGCCCCATCAGAGAATGCAGGGTCTCCGCGCACACACACCTGCTGAAATGCTGACTCTGGATAGACTGAGCAGCCTGAAAAATGCATTCTCTTAACAACCAAATTACCAGCCCACACCTGACTCCAATGTGAAAAGGCTATCCCAGCCAATTTCTGTATAAATGCATTGCTGCGTTGTTCATTTTGGCAGGGACATGAACACATTTTTCCTTACTTATTGACATCTTTTCTACAGTCCTCTTTAAGTGTCTTTATCGCAGAATGAATGGGGCTGTTAGTTTCTCCGAGCTTATCAGGTGGATAAGAAAGCCCTATCTTCAGCAGCACACTTTCAAAGCAACTGAAAGATAAACTGTACCAGTGCACTGCTCAAGACAGGTTACAAAGTTCCGTTTTACTGTGAACGCTGAGGGACAGCATAAGACAAACCACTCTTCCATACGTTTTACAAAACACTCACAGCATGTGGTCGTAGATCAAAAGGTTTTAAAACTCAGGTTGGTACAAGCAATCACGGAACACCAGAAGGGCTCTAAACACCTTCCGAGGAGGAAGAGCATCTTACCTCAAAGACCTTCAGCAGGGTCTTCATGTAGAGCCTGCGGATGCCAAAGGAGACTCCGAAGATGGCAGGCACGATGATGAAAACCAGCAGCAGCGTGAACCACACAGTGAAAGAGATGCCAAGCAGCATGCACACCAGGTTGTCGAAGGGGAAGTAGAACCAGCCCATGTTGGCGTTGCTTGGGAGGAAGAGGAGGGATCTCACCTCCCCACAGAAAATGGGGGAGAAAAAAAAAATACTTCTTGCTTCGAGAGGTGAGCCCAGCCCTAGTGTTGCTCAAACCCTCTACCTCTTCAGTCTCCTCAGCCTGCACTGCAACAAGAGCTTCATCAAGAAGTCTGAAGAACTTATCTGCTTGTTCAAAAGTACAGCAGCCAGTCCCCCATTTAGACCTGCCCACCCAGCCACCCTCCCACGAATGCCAGACAAGAAATACAGTGGCAGCCTCAAGGCAGTCCTTACTTTAAGAGAAAAACCTTCCCAAGGACACTGTCATGACTTTGTCTTCCTACCACAATAGACCTAATGGGCCGGGTTAGCTGTTCAGCATTGCTTCACTCTGAACAGCACATGTAGCTGCTTATGAAACATGACCTCAAATAACATCTGTTTTGGAGCAAATCCATAAGAGCTTAGCAAAGAGAAACTGCACAGAACAAGAACAGCAGGACAAGAAACAGGTAGAAAAATGGTCTGGATAGAGGTCTACAGGACTTCAGAGGTAAGATGTTTGCTTTGAATGCCAAGAAAGCGAACGCTTATTAAAAGAACTTGATTTCAATCCAACAAGGTGGTTTCTCGAGTTCTTCTTAAGATTATCGAGAAGTCTGCTCCATCCGTGACTGCAGAGACAGTTTATTTCAGTCTTTCCGCAGGGGAAGATGAAAGCAGTTTCATCCTCACAAATTGTGCAGCAGGCATCAACTCCAGACAGAACCAGCAAAGCCTGAAGAAGCAAGAGAACAAAAGGCAAAATTAGTCACAGGCAAAACAGAATCCCCTTACTCACACACAACACAAGTACAAGAAATATCCAAGTAATAAAAAGGAAGCCCAAGTACTCAATCACTCCCCTTCAGTCATTTTCAAGGGGTCATCCTGCAGGGTGTTTCCCATTTCTTACTAATTGATGCTTTTATCCAAAGCAACTTAACATTTGCACCCATTTACATAGCTGGTTATTTACATTGGAACAATTCAGTTGCAGTACCTTCCTCAAGGGTACAACAGCAGTGTCTCACCTAAGATCTGAACTCACAACCTTCCATTTACAAGACCGAAAACCTAGCCACTACTCCAAAATGGTGCCTTATAAAGGGCGCTTCAAATATCCCAAGTGCCCTTGCCAGTACTCCACTATAAATTATTCTTTAGGGCACAAACACCACACACTTCCCAGCTTCGGCTTAGTGTGCAAGCATGCTGTGGTGCTTCTGGGAAGTGATGGAAATTGATACCACAATATGGGATCAGAAATATCTGTAAACTGATCAGGAGGAGGAACACAGCCCAGCCGCACTCCATGTGAAGAAGCACATAGCAAACAGGACTCAAACTGTAGAACAGCCTTTTGCATTGTTCATGGTGTGCTTAGTGAAGGCACAGTTTTATCAAAGTTCTTTCTAACAAGTTTGTTTGCTCTGTCAATAGCTCTTGTGACTGAATACTTCTTTGACCACTTTACAAAATAAAAAGTCAATAGTATTGAACAGAAGTCCCTGCAACACCTGATGTCAAATCCAGGTAAACACTCACCCAGAATGCTCTTTACAAACTATGGCAACTACAGTATAAAACTGCATAAAATCATATAGAGTAAATTGCATGTTTGCAAAACTTAGGATCAAAGCAAATGGTTCTCTCCACTGAGGGGTGTTATCCAAGCAAAGTGCTGTTTTATCTAGTCTAAAACCAAGAATTAAATGGTACTCCATATGGAACACATTGCTCATGCTGTCAATCGAACATCTGCTAAACGTACAAGTTTTACAAAAAGACTATCAATTGAGTTGAATCACTTTTACTTTTCGCCGATTACTGGGCCCTGTGCAGCACTTGTACGGATGTGCTCACAGAAACGATCCTGTTCACTGCAGCTGTGAATGAGTGCCTGCACCCTCAAAGGAAAAAAAGAGTTCTGAACACTGCAGCAGATCATAAGGATGGTAAAAGATACTTCAACCAAAACATAACCTCCAGGACAACCTCTTACAATATCTTATTTTTACAGGGACAGACCACAGAATGTCTGCAGTCCTAGAGGACTCCAGAGTTCTTTATTACCTAGTCAAACTAATTGTATTGTAACTAATACTTGCTGTATTGGACCAATTTAACCTCTCAGAGGGATCAGGCTATTGAAATGGCCGGCACAAGCTGCTGGAAATTAACCTATGAAAGACACTTTATGCATTCCTTGCTCAAAATAACACTCAGTAGGAACCTCGCTCTTTTTCAAGCAAATCACGCAAAAAGAAAACAAACCAAACTGCTTTTAACCACACTTCACGCCACGGAAAAACTTGATCTTAAAACGCACAAAGTTAAATAGCAACTAGACTATTATAACCAACTTGTACAACATGGAGTATCTGGGGACAGAGGCAAGCACACTAAGTACCGATCAACTCCAGACAATAAAATACTTTGTACTGCTTGATTCAACAACAATCCATGGGTCTGGGACTTTATCATTCACACAGGTCTGTAGTCACAGCCATTAGCCGATTAGGATGTTTTGGTCAAGTGGTGAGATCTCTCCACTACTGTCAGTTTCTCTCGACTCTCTGGTACCATTAAATAATAAACATGTTGAAGAGATCAAAGAGAGACAAGAAAATGGAAGTTCAGCTTTTTGAGGAAGAGTTGATAACTAAGTAGTTACTTGCTCAATTCAAATGTAATGCTTGTTGTATTGCCGGTAGTTTAATGGCAATTCAGTGTGTTTTTAAGCATTCCAGTAGACCGGAGAGTGAAAGCACTGATGATCCTCTCCTTTAAGTTTAAAACCATATGGCTGTGAAGAATCGTTAGAATAATTTGCCAAATTAATGTCAACTAAAACGCATTCTTAGTATGGGACAAAACCTGTTACATGGCAAAGGATTCTAGCCTTGTATTTACATTTATGTCATTAATTTCAGCGAAAGGGAAAACAAAAAATGGAAAGTTATCAAAAATTATGATTTTTAAAGAATGGCTGTCTGGGATTACTCCCACAAAAAAATGCGAAGAATCTCTCGATTTTCAAAATGCGACGTTCATACCAAACAGGTCCCTGCTACCGCTAATCTGGACAGCTGTAGTGCATTTTTGTATTTATCCGGATATTACAAACGACAACAGTTTGGCAGCTGGTATATCACTGCGTGTTTTTCAAGAAAATGAGCGTTTCTCACAGTTCACATCTCGGTTCACGCATTTACGACCGGGTAAGTGGCCCAGGAATCCCGCACGCTGACACAATAAACATGAAATTGCCCACTGTTCTGACTTGATTGTTGTCGGGACGTAAACAATTAAGATTTAAACCGTGAGCTTTAACTCTCAGACGCGGTTGTTTCTCCTGCAGTATATCATGTGTCCACCTGAATCGTGATTTTACACGAATGACACATCATGCTTGAGCCACAATAAGATGCCTGAACACTCCGGCTACACGCTGTTTAATACACTTTCTCACACTAAAAGGCAGAAACAGCTCAGGTAAAACATCTCAATATTCCTGTTGAGGAAGCAAAAACCAACCCGGTACCATATGATGACAGGTTTCCGCTTATTTCTGTTGGTATTTTTAGACACTGATAAATACCATACTATTTAGGTGCCCGTCCGATTAGGACACCGTCGCATACTGGAAATAAAATAACTGCTCGGTTAATTGCAACGGTATTTTCCAACAACTTACCCATTTTTCTGCGTTGTTAGTGTTTTTTTTACCCCCGTCGGCAGCGTGCCCTCCTTTTGTGCTTGATGACAAGGCCTCCCTCGCGCTACAGTGTAATCCCACAGCCCCGGCTCATGAGCGCGCTGCGGGTGCGCAAGAAATAACGAGGCGTGTCCCCGTCAGAGCGAAAGGGGCGTTTCCGTAGGACGCCACTCCTGCGTGCGCGCGTCTGAAGACGATCCCCGCCATTTTAGTTCTTCAGCGGAATTGCAGTGACCTCTAGCGGATATTTCTTCTACTGCAAGAAGACGCCTTTGCGGCTCGGGTTCTGGGTCTGGCAGTTTGCGGCGAGCTTGGAGGGGGGTCATTTGTGCTTTAGATGTTCTTTTCGAAGGAATGATTTTTTTTAAAAAAAAAGGCGGCTGAAAATATCTATTGAAACATTTCTTCCAACCTTTGTGTCGCCAAATACGCGAAATCAATTTAACTGAAACAGAAAATGATTTAAACAACGCGCAGGGGTGTTAGTAGTTTTGACAGTTGCGAAGTAATAGTATTCGCATTGTAATATATTCGTATAAATGAATATCAAAGAAATAGTAAGTTTCGAGTAACGGAATTATTTGTAGTCATATTGCATACTACAACCCTGCATCACTGCAATGTTCCCCCAATGGGTGCTGTTAAATGACGACTTTCATATCACGCAGATGTGTGTGATTAGACCACAGTTGACATGGATACTACTATTTTGTCTGTATCAATTTTCTTACTATTATTATTTGAGGATGTGAGAACAATCAAGGTCTTTTTTTTTAATTCCTAAGTGCAAATATTCCTGGTCTGCAAAAACGAAGAATTTCTGAATGTTCCCAGCAAGAATCTATAAAGATCGATCCTGAAAATGTCTTCATGCTTTCAACATGTAACCTGCGATTTACATATGTGAATCGTGCGGCGCCTTTTGTACAGTATGTAAAGGAAACGAGAGAGGTAACAGGCGAGACAGATTTGAACTCATCACGCCTTCCCCTTTAACAGCAGGAAGGAAACCGGAAGCAGGACCGAAGTTTGCGATTTGGCCGACAGATTGTGTGAAATCAACATCAGTTGCAGAGTCATTAAAAATTAAAAGAATCCGGTTGCAGAGAAAAACGATATATTAAAAGATCTGAGTTTTTGGAGACTGGATGATTCTCAACGGGGTAAGGTCAAAAGGTATAAGGATTATTAGGCATTTCTGTCTTGTTATTTGCGTATAACGTGCTCCTTGAGTGGGGGATTGTAACTACTAACAATCTTCAACCTACTGTAAACTTTATTTGGCAAACTCGAATCTTTCATAATGCCTATCCCTGAGTTACATCCGTTAACATTTTCACTGTTGTGTAAGAGTTACAGACGTATATGCTAGTTTTGAAGGAAGCTGTAGTGATTGTCTGACCTACTCCTAGTGTAGCAAGCATGTCTTAACCAGAAATAATGTCGATTCTCCGTAGAAAAACTAGACAATATTGAAATCTAAAAATTGGCAACAGATAGAATTGAAATCTAATTTATGGGAGTGAAATATTCAGTTTTTCACGTTCGGTAGGGCTTATTTGGTCGGTGGTAAAATTGGACGTCACTTTTATTTAAACACGAAGAAGTGTAGTTTCACTTAAATGCGTTATTAATTTAGCTCCACCTTTTCCCAGTCAGGTCATATTTTTGGCACGTACAAACTAACCACACGCACATACGGCCGCTAAACTATTTAACCACTGGTTCTTTAAATAACTAGACCTGAACTAAAAGTAATTGAAATTGTGTCATTATTTATCAACTCTTCGAATTTGAGTGTTCGTTTAAAACAAGTACAGGTTGGTTTCCAAAACGTAGCGAGATTACATAAGAGAAACAGAATTGTCGTTTGCTATGTGTTGTTGTATTTTTACTTAAGTCAGAGTTTAATTAAATTACCTTTGAAAATTAAAAGCTTTGCTTTTACTGAACTAGGAGAAGCCTCGAACCTTTGGAAAATCTCACATACTCCACTCTACGTTACTTTATCATGGGGTGTGCTCAAACTATATAATTTAACAAATAAAAACGGAAAATGTGCTTTGGGCTGTGTTGTTGTAAAAATGGTTTGTAAGTGGAGTGTAATAACAGCTAAGGGTCCTTTGCTTTTGATACGTAAGAGTGCTGTGGATATTATACTGTATGAAGAAATGGACAAATTAATCTCTTTGCGTGCTGTATGTTTGTCGTTTTTGGTATTACGGCACTGTGGTGACATGGCTTGTGATTAACCGGTCTTTGCTTGCAGTGGGTGTAGCAGTGTTGAAGCCCCAAGCCGAGTGACTCATGGTATCCCAGAAGACTGCAGGCTACACGACCTGACAGATCATGGCTGCCACAGAGGAACCCCCAGAGAAGTAAGACAATAAGCCCTCCTATTACTATTACCCATCAGGGGCTTGACTTTCCCACATGGACGTGTGAGGAGTAAAGTCAAAACTGGTTACCTGGATCATGAGGTAGCAGAGTTTTTGATTCATGTAACGTAACTTGTGTGTAGCCATTCTTTTAAAGGTTGTTCTGAAAACAAATTCCTGTGACGCCCTGTAGATGCACACAAAAGAACCACAAGCCTATAGTAAAGAGCAGACGTCTCTGGGATCATTCGCAACAGTGGTTTTGCCTCTGAAAAACTGCAGAATATGTTTGTGCAGTAATAGACAATAGGGTTCTGACTGGTTGTCTGCAAAAGGCACATAGTATTCAGCCCCGTTTATACTGAAATGGCTGGGGGATGCTGTTTAAGAGCTGGCTGAAATTGAAGCTCTTTTCAAACAGAGGTGTGAACCTGCAACATACTGTATAAGTGTTAAATTGAATCAAAAGCACAAGCTAGGCGCTGTCTACGGGCAGTTTGTATGTTCTCCCAGTGTTCGCGTGGGTTTCCTCCAGGTGCTCCGGTTTCCTCCCACAGCCCAAAGACATACTGCTAGGTTAATTGGATTATGTAAAAAAAACTGGTACGAGTGTGTACTGTGTCTGGGTGGAGCGGTGGCTCTGTGGCTAAAAGATCGGCGCCTGTGGCTGGAAGGTTGCCGATTCGTATCCCGCAGCCGGCAGAGGAATCCTACTCCATTGGGCCCCTGAGCAAGGGTCTTAACCCCAACTGCTCCGGGGGCGCCGTATATGGCTGACCTTGTGCTCTGACCCCCACCTTCTTTCCCTGTCTGTGTGTCTCATGGAGAGCGAGCTGGGGTATGCAGAAAGACAAATTCCTAGTGCAAGAAATGATATATGGCCAGTAAAGTGATCTGATCTTGTATCTGCCCCGCAATGGGCTGGCGTCCCATCCTGCTTTTGGGATAGGCTCCGACTCCCCCGCGACCCTGAATTGGATGAGCAAATAGTTAAGGATGATGGCAGCCACTCCGACAAGAAGCACAGTGTGTCGAAGAGCTGAAAGTACCCGCTATGAGGTTTGTGTTTTCGTTTAGGCTTAGCAGCAGGTGTTGTGAGTGACCGTGTGTCTGTTTCCGCCCGCGTGCCCGCGCGCCTGCAGGCACTGCTGGGTGTGCTTCGCCACGGAGCGCGAGGACCGCGCGGCCGAGTGGGTGAGCCCCTGCCGCTGCAAGGGCTGCACCAAGTGGATCCACCAGGCGTGTCTGCAGCGCTGGCTGGACGAGAAGCAGAAGGGCAACGGAGCTGGCAGCGTCAGCTGCCCGCAGTGCAGCACCGAGTACAAGATCGTCTTCCCCAAGCTGGGTACGGCCTCCTCTGCGGCGCTGCGCTAATCAACCAGGGGCTTCAGTTTAGATCTCTTTCAGAGGAGTGGGATAACGGGTACAGACCTTTAATGTAAATTCTTACTGATGCATTCATGTTGTAGTGGGGTTTAGTTAAATAAACCAATACTCAAAATGTTCATATTATCTGGTTAGGTGTCCATTACATTTTCAGTGTTGTTAAGTGTTTATTTCCTATTGCCACTTCCCTTATTTCCATTCTTATACTGCGAATATAAACAGTAGATTTCTAGTGGGTTGAGTCTTCTTATGAAGCACCCCCTAGGAGCTAGCCACTGACTTTCTCCTCTGTCTGGCCCAGGCCCGCTGGTGTACTTCCTGCAGCAGGTGGACAGAGTCCTGTCCAGGGTCAGCCCTTTCGCTGCTGCTGGAGTGGTGGTGGGCACTGTGTATTGGTCAGCTGTCACCTACGGAGCGGTCACTGTCATGCAGGTACGCAGAGAAGTGGTAGGAGCTGTGGGTCATGATTCCTGTGAATTAAGCTTTATGTAGTCTTCTGAGAGGCTGCTACATAAGGTGTTCTTATAACATTACCTGTGGGGCTATTGTTACAAAAGACATAAGGTACATTAGTATTCATATGTCAAATTATAGTACGTGTTGGGTTTAGAACAATGGTGAGTATTGTTGTTAGAGTTAAAAGTGGAGTAGAGCTAAGGTTAGGATTAGGGTTTGAGGTATTATGAATATATATGTACAGTTGCAAGAAAAAGTTTGTGAACCCTTTGGAATTTTGCATTAATTACTCATAAAAATGTGGTCTGATCTTCAACTAAGTCACAATAATAGACGAACACAATCTGCTTAAATGAGTAACACACAAACAATTGTACCTCTTCTTGTCAATATTGAACACATCGTTTAAACATTCACAGTCCAGGCTGAAAAAAGTATGTGAACCCTTGTATTTAGTAACGGGTTGAGCCTCCTTTAGCAGCAATAACCTCCACCAAACGTTTCGTGTAGCTGCTGTTGAGATTTGCACAACGGTTAGGAGGAATTTTAGATCATTCCTCCTTACAAAACTGTTTCAGTTCATTGATATTTCTGGGATTGCATGTGTGAACAGCTCTCTTCAGGTCATGCTACAGCATCTCAATTGGGTTGAGGTCTGGACTCTGACTTGGCTATTCCAGAACATGAATTTTCTTCTGTTTAAAGCCATTCTGTTGTTGATTTACTCCCATGTTTCTGGTCATTGTCTTTTTGCATGACCCAACTTCTATTACGCTTGAGGTGACAGACCACTACCCTGACATTCTCCTGTAAAATTTCTTGATACAATTTTGAATTCATTGTTCCCTCTGTGGTAGCAAGCTGTCCAGGTCCTGAGGCAGCAAAGCAGCCCCAAACCATGATCCTCCATCCACCTTGCTTCACGGTTGGGATGAGGTTTTGGTGTTGGTGTGCCGTACTTTTTTTCTCCTCCAAACGTAGCATGCGCATTTCTGCCAAAGAGTTCAACTTTTGTCTCATCTGTCCACAGAACATTGTCCCAGAAGCGTTGTGGAACATCCAGGTGGTCTTTTGCAAACTTGAGACGTGCAGAAGTGTTTTTTTGGAGACCAGTGGTTTCCTCCGTGGTGTCGTTCCATTAACACCATTCGTGTTCAGTGTTTTTCTTATAGTGGACACATGACAGAGACTTTGGCAAGTCAAGAGATTTCTGCAGGTCCTTTGCTGTTACACTGGGGTTCTTTTTCACATCTTCCAGCACTGCACGCTGCAATCTTGCCGTGATCTTTGCAGGACACCCACGCCTAGGGAGAGTAGCAAGAGTACTGAATTCCCTCCATTTGTACACAATTTGTCTTACTGTGGATTGATGAACACCCAGATCTTTAGAAATGCTTTTGTAGCCTTTTCCAGCTTTATGCCTCTCTGTCTCTATCAGGTCCTCTGATAGTTCTTTTGATCAGGGCATGGTTCACATGAGCAGCTCTTTCTTGAGAAGAGCAGACTCTGTCACTAACCAACCTGCGTGTGCCTTTTTTATAGAGCAGGGCATCTCCAACACACACCTCCAATCTCATCTCATTGATTGGAACACCTGACTCCAATTAGCTTTTGGAGAAGTCATTAGCCTAGAGCTTCATGAACTTTTTCCAACCTAGGCTCTGAATGTTTAAACAATGTGTTCAGAACTGACGAGAAGAAGTACATTTGTTTGTGTGTTACCTATTTAAGCATATTGTGTTTGTCTATTATTGTGACTTACTGTAGTTGAAGATCAGATTAGTTGAAGATTTCTAGCAACTATACATGTTTTGTCTTTTGGAAAAAAGGTGAAAACTGTTTAAGATGTTATGTTAACTTTAAGAAAACCTTTATACAGCCTGCAGCATACGATTTAAACAACATTAAGCAGTTTTATCAAACTATTTCATACTGAAAAGCACACATAGTAATAGAAGTAATAGATAAGAGATCCTTAAAGTATCTTCCCTGACTTCTCAAAAGTCACAGTTTGGGCCACTACTGTGTATACTTCTTACTAGTAAAAATCAGAATTAGCGGTGTATGAGTCCCAAATACAGTTTTTTACATTTGGAGCCCGGTAGCATAAAAGCATGTGAGAGAGGAAGCGCAAGAGTGAGGATGCTATTTTATTACAGCCAAGGGTATAGAGTGGCTGGTTAAGATAGCTCCTGGCTCTCGTGACGGCTGTCTAGGTGACTTCACTGACCCGATGGGAACTGTCCTGTCTTCTCTATGCCCGTCTGCCAGGTGGTGGGGCACAAGAAGGGCCTGGATGTCATGGAGAGGGCAGACCCGCTGTTCCTGCTCATGGGTCTGCCCACCATCCCAGTCATGCTGGTTCTGGGAAAGATGATCCGCTGGGAAGACTACGTGCTGCGGCTCTGGCAGAAACACTCCATCAAGCTTCAGCTGCTCAGCGGCATCATGCCAGGTGAGGTGCTGGAGAAGAGGAATGATTGCGACTTAAATGGAGTTTCATTTAGATGGCCGGTACAGTAGCGGTAGTGGGATTCATGTTCATTTTTAAGTTCAGATCGGGAGCTTATAGTTCAACAGGATTTGAGCCCTGGGGCATCCTGCCTGTACATTTCTGATGTGTGCCTGATTTATTTTGCCTGTCCAGGCATTGGGCGCCCAGCGCCCCGTGTACCCTTTGATGGAGGCTATCCAGGCGACCACCTCTCTGTGTCGCGCACCCTGTGTGGTGCCCTGGTCTTCCCTACCATTGCCAACCTGGCAGGCAGACTCATGTTCCGCAGGGTGCCCTCCAGTCTGCAGCGCACCATCCTGGTGAGTCGACACAAAAAGAGACAAGAAGCATTAAATTGGTTTGCATCCCTCTTCATCTCATTTTGATTTGTGCTTTTGTGCCGAGTAATTGATGTATTTACGCTGCCTACCCAGTTTCTCACAGCAAATAGGTGGTGATTGCGTTTTTCTCTGTGTCTATACAGTACATGACAATGATCTGAAGGGTTTTTTTTAACATGCACATAAAACCACAGAATTCTGACGTTCAGAATAAACTGAAGTGAAGTCTGTGCATCATTTTGATGACCATCCATGCGTCAACTTAATGACCACCTTTTTTTTAAACGGAACACAGTTTGAAACCAAAAAACATGTTGCACCTTCCAGAATAAAGCCCTTCGTATCATATTCATTTCTTTAGACCATAAAATACCAAGGAGAGTAAATGTGAGATCATCCTCATTATCAGGTAAATTGTTTCATGGACCAACAGGATATACTTCTTTTGCTCCTCTCAAAAGCATGCGTGCTTGGATGCATCTTTGTCTCCACTGTATGAATGTTGTACTGGTGAGATTTTCCCATATTAAGTAAGGCTTGTAAATAGCTAGACCATTGCTGGCCAGGTCTTGGTTATAATGCAGTAATAGCTTAAGAGCTGGACGCATTGACTACAAATTAAGGAAACGACTAGATAAAATCTGAAATTAGGTCCTAGTATGGGATGGACAGCAGAATCTGGGGAGATGCTTAAATTTTTACCTTTCAAGTGGCCAGATGGCTGATAGGATTCTTTTTTGATTGCATAGATACTTCCCTGCTGCGTTTGCACGTGGCCTGTAATCGTGATCGTTCCTCACCTTTGTTCCACGGTGTCCCGGCAGTTACTGTCTCTTGGCACTTTCAGGGTGGCATCGCCTTCGTCGTGATCAAGGGAGTCCTGAAGGTGTACTTCAAGCAACAGCAGTACCTCATGCAGGCCAACCGCCACATCCTGAACTACCCGGAGCGAGAGGATGGGGACGAGGCACATGAGGAGGAGGACAATGAGGACAGTGGAAACGAGTAGAGAGAACAGTCTCGCCCCTCCAAACCCCACTCTCCTCTCCCCCTGCCTCTCCAGCGGTCCCCCTGCAGTCTGAGAACACAGTCCTGTAGAATACCAGTATTTATTATTAAACCACTCGACCGATTCCCTGCTGGATTGCTTTGTTTAAAGATGAAGATTGCTTGTGCAATCCCATATTTAAAATTAATTTGGAATGAAAGAGTGTGTGATAAAAGGATGACCCCGAAAAAGGTCGTTTTCCTCCTCAGGGCTCCTATTGCAACACATTTTTTGTTTAAAAATCAAATTACTCATCAGAAGAAAAAAAGAATTGTTGACCAGGGTTGTGGTCAAAACCATTTTCTTTTATCATGTAATTCTGTTGTGTTTACTGCATTAAACTTCACTTTTAAAATTTCTGACAGCTTTCAGGTCATGTGCATTCATGGAGCAGGGTTTGCGTACTCCCCAATACTTTCAATTCAAAATGATTTCACATGTGCTGGGATTAAAAATAAGATTTTGCATGTATTTTTTATGAAAATAGTTGCTATCTACCTGTAATTGTTTGTTACCAAGTCAAGTTGTGTGTTTTTCTTAAGTATTAACATGAATTAGTACGGGTCTGAAACTGCTTTCCTTCGAGCAGCATCTTCTGGGTTTTGCTCCACCTAAGCACTCAGTTACTTAATTAGTTTGTTTCATTAATTGGATATCTGTAATACTTTTATCCCAGCTCACAACTGTTTAAAACAGAGATCGGCAACCCTGGTCCTGGAGATCCTCTCTGTCCTCTTGTTTGTATCAGACTTTTAATGGAGTCAGTCAGCTGCTTAATTTGTAGGCGTTATTAAATGCACCGGCTCTCCAGGACCAACCTTGCAGATCTCTGCTTTTAAAGGAATTGTACCTGGAGTGAATCTTGTACTATTATCTATTGGCTCAGAGAAAGAAAACACCTTTGTATTTGCCTGTCCAAGAAAATAAACTGAGATCCAACAAGCAAATAGCCAAAGAAAGAGGAAAAAAATGTTCTCAGACCTGGAAGAATTACAATAAAAAACAGAATTGCTTTCTACGTGCTTGTGCACAGTGAAGCAAAGGTTATTGGGATTGTCTTCCCTGCAGGCTACACCTTAATATCCAAGTCTGACCACATTTTTGCACTGATTTGTGAAACACGAGCAGGGAGACGTGTTTGTATCATCTCCGAAGGTAGAGGAAAGCTCCTTGTTTTCTCTCAATGACGGCATAAGTTTGAGAGACAGCATTCATGTGTCATAATAATGGGTATCAAGGCACCTTATTGTACCTACATATAGAGCTGAGTAGCCCTTTAAAATGAAATGTAGAATAAAGGGGAGATAAGATATTCACCTTAATATTGCAAATAGATTAATGTGATGATTCCTTAAGCATGGAGATACTGTATATTTCAATCAAATGCAAAGGTAAAGATCTTTGTAGTCTCTCATTAAGAATGTGAGTCTGATTCTTGTGCTGTCTTTGTCAGATATACAGTAGGCACAGGGGTGTGACATACTAATTATTCTTAGCAGAACCACCCATTCATCCATTTTCTAACCCCTTCATCCAATTCAGGGTCACAGGGGAGCCAGTGCCTATCCCAGCAAGCAGTGGGCTCAAGGTAGGATACACCCTGGATTGGACGCCAGGACAGACACTCAAATCAGGGCCAGTTTTCCCAGAAGCCAATAACCTACCACTACAGTATGTCTTTGGACTATGAGAGGATACCACACAAACCCTGGGAGAACATACAAACTCCACACAGACAGCACGCCAGGTCTGGAATTGAACCCAGGCTCCTAGCCCTGCAAGGCAGCAATACTGTGCCACTGCGGTAGAACCTTTAGTTCTACGTATAAGAATCAATACAAACAATAAGCTGAAGACCTTAAACTTCAAAATGAAGCAGGAGACTTGGCTGAAGGCCAGCAAACAGAAATGAATACGAGAATCCAGGGGCAGGTCTCTGCCTTAGCTGCAAAAGCAACACCTGTCGGCACTGAGCTGTTGAAATAATGGTGGCTTTACTGTGAATAGCTCACAGCGGAGCTTTGTGGATCCTACAGTAAGGAAAGTACACGGGGGAATTAAAATCCCTTTACGTTCAATAGAATAAAAGCTTTTCTCATTACACCGTATAATCAAATCTGTCAATAATGAATTTAGCATTAAAAAATTGCTTTGCTATGATACAGTTTTAGACCTGGGTAAAAGACACACTTATGTGGGAGCTCTTGTTCAAACTGAGAATCCGAGTCATGAACGGGGAGCTGACAGGCGTAAACCAGGAAACAAGATGAGCTTTTCAAAATTGCAGTGTGACATCAATACCTACTAACCTGTTTCAAAGATGATCTGCCACAAGGCAGTGAATTCTGTCTTCATCTCTGTCAGTCCAAGCTGTGTGTTTTGGGACACTCTGGATCATAAATTATACAGAGAGTCCTTTTCAGAAGGCTGGTGTTAAAAATCACAAACTTTGGCATGGTGGTATAGTGGGTATTGCTGTCTCATAATGCTGGGGCCTTAGGCTCAGTTCCTGGTGTGCTACCTGTGTAGAGTTGGTATATCCTCCCCCTGCTGACAGGAGTGTGTGCCTTGTGTTGGACTGTTCCCTTGTGTTGGCCTTTTGCTCACTGCTTGCCAGGATGGGCTCCAGCTCCCCCCACACCCCTGTATTGGATAAAGACGGTTAGAAAATGGAGGGCTGTGAACTTTGAAGTAGAGCTTGCAATGAGACATTTAGAGTGTTGAATGTGTCAGTGATTTACTGGTGAATCTAGACTACCACAAGTCTTCCGCCTACACACTCTTTACAAAGAGGACGGCTGATTTAGACAGGAGCAAATACAAACATAATCTGGAACGTGAGATTATCGATAAAAACGTTCAATAAATCCGAGGAGACGTGCATCATTCCATGCTGCAATGGAATAAACCTTTACCTATTCCTTTGCAGCCTGCACATGTTGTTACAGCTACTGGACTTAAACTATTTGCCAAAGAAGTTGAAAAATATATATATTTTAAATTGATACAAGTAAATCGATCAAAGTATAGGAAGGCCCTTCCAGAACAATCCTTTTGGATTAGCTTGTACGCGACTTTGCTGAATGGACGCCTGCATTTGAAAAAAGACACTTGCAAATAAATGTACTTAATTCGGAAAAACAGACGTATTTGTTCAGTGGTGCAGTACTTCTACTTACCTGCAGAGGGCTCTCCTCGACAGGATTTGATCTAAGGGAGGAAGACAAAATATGGACCACGTCTGCGACTGTTGACAAAAAGACATTCTAACTGGACCAAAAACGTGGCAACACATTTATAAAGAAATGAAAAGAACAACAACATGATACAGTTAATATTTGAAAAATTAAGAAAAGTACTTTTCAGTACCTTGTTTTTCACTAACTCACGTTTAATCACCTGAAATCAACCCATGCATAAAAACGAATTCTTCTAATATTATACTAGGATAAGGTTATACAAGGATAAGTTATATAGTTATTAGTTTAGATAATATTATACAGGGATAAGTTAAATATTTATTAGTTTACATACACTGCTTTTTTAAAGCCTTCATTAATTGGAAATTCCAACCGTCCATGGACACTAGTCCAACACAGGGAAGTCTTACAGAGTCAGTTTGACCAAAAACCCTTTCACCTACCAGTATGTTTTTGTACTGTGGGAGGAAACCCACACCAGTTAAGGGGGAACATGTAAACTCAAGAAAGACAGCACCCCAGGTCAGGAACTGAACCCAGGACTCCAGTACTGCAAGGCAGCAAATGCTAACCACCACGCCAACTTGCTGTTCACCAGGAATTACAAGTAATTAATGTATTCATGAGCTTCAGCAATTTATTCCAACCCTACAATAATGTGTTCTACTATTGCATGACTTTGTTATTAATACAGCTAAGTGGTACGACCAATCTTTAATTCACACTAATCAGAATAGTTAAAAACCTGTTCAACACAACTGAAGGCCAACACAACAGCAATATAAAGAGCTATCTATCACGTTTACCAATCAAACTCACTCGTTGTTACATTCACATTGAGTGTTAACATATACTTGATTTATTATTGCTGTCCTTAACACTGTTCAGAAATGCTTCCCTTGTGGGGGGTTCAAAAACAAATTACCAGAAGAAATCAGATAGTTAATCACAGACAGATTGGTTGAGGAACTGAATCTCTTCTGTCTTGAACAGAGATCTCAAGAGACTTGACACAATTATCAAAACCCTGAAACACTACAAGATAACTTCCTGCTCAGCAATCAAACAAAAGCCCTAGACCATAAAAGGAGTCATGAAAAAATGGATATAGTACTGAAAATAGAAAGCATGCCCTTACCCAGAGAGTAGTGGGAGTGTTGAACAAACTCCCCAGCCCTGTTTTTAAATAATATTTTCATCAAGGCCAGATTTCCACTACAGCTACAAATAGAAATATGTCAATTGTATCAAAGCTAACACAGCATAACCAGCATATCATACCATCTGGCTTCTTTTGTTGTTGTTCAATTTCTTGCTGGCTGTGCATGTAAGAAGATGTATTTTTGTTCAATTTGCTGTGCTAAGTGAGCTATTGTATCAAATCTCTGATATGAAAATTTGATCAACCCCCCCCAGCCCCCACCTATTCACTAGCAGATTAATTGCACACCTCTCTGAGAAGTCCCCTAATGAAATTTTGATAATAATTCTTTTCAGAAGCTGTTTCTGTGTGGGCTGTTTGTTAACACGGCAAATAACAACCTCTGCAGGAGGAACTCACTGAACGTGAACAAAGGGATACGGAACGCAGGCATATTTGCTTTCACTTTGGCAAATTCCAAAGATAACAAACAACATAAAGGCTTAATCCAGTTTTTTGGGCAAATAACATATTTCAAAGAGAAAAAAAAGCATCAAGATATTTACAGTTCAGGATCAGTGAGGCCAGCCTGCTTGCTACTTTTTTGCTCTATTTAACAGAGTCAGGCTGCTCTGTCCACACTACACAAGCATGCAAATAAGTTCATCTTTGTTTTAGATTTCTGATATCAAAGGTGACTTATCTCCCATCTCTATGTACTCAAGTTATAATGGGCAGTGTCTGAGCTACAAGTTGGTAGTACGGTCATCATACCGTATGTATCATAACAGTCTAATGTCTCTCTGTAAATGCTGATCTGGTTAAACATGAAAACTGCACAAACAATTCAGTTTCACCCTGTTTTCCAAAACAGGAGCACTTTAACAAAATTTGTGTGTTTTGTTACATAGCCTGTTTGGATTCGATTGTCATTATTGTTTATGCATACTGTATATCTTTGATAAGATAACTTTATTGGTCATACACAATTTCTGGTATTGTCTTCTCACATACCCCA